GACTGCTTTCTTTCTCATCGTCTATTTTTCAACAAATACCGGCTCAGATGGTTACAGTTTTAATGGAATTCTATACAAATAGCAAGGTAATATAAAATAAATTATTTCGTTGAAAAAACTAATTTCTTGAATACCAATAAATTTACATTTCTTTCATAAAAATCCATTATAATTTTTTATAAAAAAAATAATAATCCAGATCATATTTTTACCTGGAAATGTATGGATTCCATCATCCAGTATCTGCTCATAAACGAATTTGGCTGATAACACAAAAAACGCAATTCGCCGAGGCAACAATGGAGCCGTAATAATAAAAGATACTTTACAGTTCGTTTCGGCGCAATATTTTACTAACAAAGAAAAGCAGGCAGTCGAGATGAAGAAACCATCAGACAAAAGTGGGATACGGAAAATATGAGAAGTAATATAAACTCATAAATATGCAATTAGGATCGGTTTACGTATGCAAACTTTTTGTTGCTTATTTTATGTTTTAAATATACATAATGGTTTTTAAATAAAAAATTTATTTATTAAAATCAAACAAGCTTAAGGTAGTTGTCGTGGTACAATATTGTCAATTTTTTTTAGATTATACGCACCGTAAAAGTATACGAGCTTGTAGCTAAGTGATTCATAATTTTTTCGCAAGACTGTACCCTTGGAGACGTTACTTATACGTAATAGTTTCAAATATTTTCATAAGTTTTAATCTGACAACGTCGCTTATGCGCAACCAATAGATATATTGGGGACTGAATCAGTCTGTTTGAATTTACTGCGCAAATAATATCTATACTCGCGTACAGCGTTGCCAAGTTGTTTTTATCTGACTCACTAGTATGTATACTTTTGTACAAACGGTTATTAATAAACAACTGGACTGTCAAAAAAATGTATTATTTTTTTAAACTCAGCAAAAATACATTAAAAGACTTAGTTTTTTGAAAGCTTCTGACAGTTAGTTTTTTTATAAGGGCCATTCCACGCGTAACGGATAGGACAGTTGCCGTGTTTTTATTTACAAAATAATATTGTTCTATTATATTACCAATGCCAAATTTTTATAAATAGTTCTAAACCAAAGCTGTTTAACAGGGTTTTTATTTGGCAAAATTAGGTATCGTGGTTGACTGTATAATTCCTTAAAAACTAATAATTTAAAGCGTAACGGACGGACTAGTCCCGCCCGTTACGCTTTAAATTATTAATTTTTAAGGAATTAAACAGTCAATCACGATACCTAATTTTGCCAAATAAAAACCTTGTTAAACAGCTTTTGTTTAGAACTATTTATAAAAATTTGTCATTGGTAAATTTGTCATAGAACAATATTATTTTGTAAATAAAAACACGGCAACTGTCCTATCCGTTAAGCGTGGAATGGCCCATAACTAAGAAACTGGTACAGAACTACAGAGAGCGTATACAATCCATGTTAATTATCCAATTTTTAATTGAATTTATCACGGGTTATAGACGGTCAATCGACTTTAAATTTTAAGGATAATTCTATTATCATATCCTTAATAAGTATACACAAATTTAAAATTTTCTGATGGTATGCCTACAGCACGACAACTACCTTAATAAATTAATAAATTTAAATGGTAAAGAAAAACATAATATTAATTAATATTATGAACGTATGTTAAGTTACCTTTATAATGAGAAGTTGATTGTATTTTTATCAAAAAGTACGTTAAAAACAAAATATAAATTTAAAAAATCAACTTAATTAGACAGCTTTTAATAAAGTTTGGGTAAAAAAAAATTACAAAAATCTTTTTAAAAGGGGTTGAGTTTAAAATTGGTCGATTTTTATTTTATTTATAAACTTTTATAAAAAAAAATCATATATATTTTTTAATAAAATTTATATTGTTCAGGTTTTATTTGTTTTTTATAATTTTTTCTATTTATGATTTTAATAATTTTTATGTAAAAACAAATATTTTATGTTATGTTTAATCCACCAAACCTTTACGAGGTATTAAATTAATTTAACAAAACATGTTTTTAAAGTAAAACTCATTTTCTTTTTGCTTATTAACTCTCGCCTATAAAACGCAAATTATGGTACAAGTTTCCATGACACTAAGTGATCTTTTAATATACATTGACAAGCTATAGATTTATGGCGCTTTAGTCACGGGCTAAAGTTAGCTTTAAGTTAGTTGACAGTTGTCATATGTCATACGATCGTTAAAATAAAGTGCCCTTCTTAATAAATAATACTAAATGTGAAAATTATTGTATTATCTTTATACAAAAATTCAAAAGAAATGGGTAATTAGTTTCTCAACGCCAATATTTAAAAAGTTTGTATTGACCTTTTTCGCCGGCAGCACGACTGTGACTGGGGTTGCCAGATTCTGTCAAATAAATAAAGGACATTTTGTGACAATTTACCTTAATTACAAAAATGACACAATCAACAATACTTCACAATAACAATATTGTTTTGTAATTAAGGGAAATTTTCACAAATTGTACTTTATTTTTTTGACATTTTTTTGAATCTGGCAACCCCAACTGTGACCGGCAGTAAAACTGCTTCTGTACACAGAAAAAACGCTTTGATATAGGCAACAACAATGCTATAATTAATAGTTTTTTAATTTCTTCAATAAAAGTTAAAGTTTATTTAATCAAATATGTTTGGAGCAATTGAGGGAAAGGGATTAATGTCATTACAAATATTATATTCATCCCATAAGAAAATATTATTAAGTTCAAATCACTTGTTATAGAGTGAATGGCTCTTTAGATTTAAACCTAATGGAAATGTGTACTTCCTTGAAAATTTTAGAAATGAAGATTGCATTCAAAGTTTATCAATAATCAAGGTAAAATTAACATTAAAATTATTAAAAGTTATAATGCTTCAAGCAAAAATTAAAAACAAATGAAATAAGAATAGTCTTTGTTTCTTTTAATGTTTATGATTTTTATTCCAATGGAAACTAAGGTAAAGCAAGTTATTAATGTCTTACAGTGAATACCAATGTTTTCACTGTCTTGTAAGATACTTGTTATTTGCCCAATTATCATTCCCATTTTTTCAATGCGGCCTATATTCAATTTAATGATTGCTAAAATTCATACAAACGCGCCATCGGCAAACTGCAATCGCTTTCGTGCCTATACTTAAATGTGATCAACTGATTAATCGGTATTTCTGGTGACGCCGATTGATGTAAGTGTATGAGTTATCTCTGGACGGGGTATTATTTGATTGTTTGTTATATTTGCTAATTTCTTGGGCGTTGTACTTCCTAATCCCGAATCCCGTAAGTTGTACATGTTTTTTAATTGTATGTCCGCCATGCATTATCCAGTAATTTAATTACTCAATTATATCTAAATATTAACAAAAAGGTAAATGTGTACTCATATAGGTATATACCATGGACACAGTTTATCTTGATATTCGGTGTCATGCCTTAAAATAGCTATTTTGCTTAAATGGACGAAGTTCTTATTTATTTACAAAAAAAACTTCTCATAGTCTTTTAGTACCATCATGATATCCTTGCATGGCATCCTGAAAGTATATATTGCTTTAGAACTTTCAGCAATCTTTAGGATTCGCCTCTAAATACATAAGATGAAATTCCTATTTCGTTTTAGAATAACCATGTGCAATGGCAGACAGATCCTGCACATCCAGTTCAATAACTGTTGCTAGTGATGGGACAGCAACTTTCTTAGAGCCTAATATCACCAACACTTCTAGTGGGTTCCTAATAGTTCCTACAGAAAACAGAACAATTTCATTTTATGGATCGAAATACCTTTGTACACAAGACTACCAGAAGCAGTTTCCAGAATTCATTTTATTTAAAGTTCATATTAATGTATTATACAACTAATATTTGCACAAGAATATATACATATTTAAAGGAAATACAGCTTTGATTGCATTTAATGTAGCCATTTATTAGAAACCATAACTTTATTTATGCCAATGATAGTTTTTCATTCAGATTTATTGTGGCTTCAATTAAATAACAATTTAATTCAATAACTTCTTATGTTTTAACTAAGTAAGTTTTAATACGGATTTAATAGAATCACAATTTAATTCAATGACTTCTTATGTTTGAACTAATTTTAAGCAGGTTTGCACAAATAAAAGTAAGACAATCATTAGTTTGTTCATAGTTTTAATTCAGGTATTGCAAATACAGTATACCATTGGCTTAATGGTTAACCCATTCAGAATATAAAAGCTTTTTCTCTGTGTATCCATTTTAAACGGTTGTTAATCTATTTTCAAGGGATAAATTTCGATTTAAACAGGACAATTCGACATTTTCCGCCGGTACTATTTAATTTAAATTATGATTAGATAATAGTATAAGTATTTGTCGAAGAAAAATATAGTATGCAACTTGTTTATAAACTTTTCTAGACGCTCATTTAATTAAACACTCGCTCGCAAGATCGCTCGTGCCTAATCTAAATTCGTGACTAAAATGGGTTTTATCAAACTTAATATATAATATACTTTTATTTTTATTTTTATACTCTCTAAAAATGAAACAGTGGATTTTCACTGATTAACAGTGCATATTAACTATTTGCCGCAGTGATAAGTATACCACTAGCAATTAGTGAATACTCACTTTTTCATGTAGCGATTTCTTTGCACTAATTTACTTAGTGGAAATTACAAAAAAGTTAAAAAAGTTAAAATTTCACTATTTTATGTCGAGAGTTCCGGAAAAGTAGTGATAATAAAAAACACTAATTTGGAGAAGTTAAAATTTCACTAATTTATAATGAAAAACACTAATTTTACAGTGAATTAATAACTCACTGACAGAAATAGTAAAAATTTCACTGTTTCACTTTTAGAGAGTACAAAAAAGATGATTTAAAATTTTTTTTAATGGATCTTGATTGTTTTTGATAAAAATATGTATTAAATTAAAACAATATTTATTTTGAATGAAGAGACTACTTAATAATACTCTTTGACTTTTCCTTACCGTTTTCTCCATTGTAACGGATATCTTCCCCATCTTCCCGTCTCCACATAACGTAGGGTTCCGGGTAACCGGTCGCCTTGCAAGTTAAACTCACGTTCGTGGATTCGAGCACTACCATGTCAGCGCTGGTCTCCCTGTCTATTATGCTCGGAGGCACTGAAACCGAATATAATAGTCAAATTTCAAGCTTATAGCTTCAACCTAAATTTAATTATACAACTTTATAATTCAAAATAAATACCTACGATATTTATTTCTTTTATATATACTTTTGTATATATTTACTTTATAATAATAAAGTAAATACATATAAGTATCGTTAAAAACATAGGTGTCTAAAAAGTATCTAAATTAACAAATCATTACTTAGATCTAAAAATAACAAGCACTATAGAATTTTGGTATACAAAATACAGTCAGTACCTATTTATTATGGACGTATTTCGATAAAAGGGACCTAAGCATCCAAAAATCGATTTCTAATTAATATCATTATGGATTAATTAAAGCTAAAGATACTTAAAATAATAAAACTGTTACACAGTAAAAAAAAATCAACTCTAAGCAGGTCCATACTAAATAGTGTTGTTTTATAACCAAGGACCGGATTTTAGGCAAAATGCCTTTTCGTTTTTATTTCAGGCATTTGTTTTGGGACCTTGATATAAATCTTTGTTTTTGCCTAAAAGCCTAAAATGACGAATTTTTGATTTAGGGTCCTAAAAGAACATTTTTATTAGCCTAAAATAGGCTGTTTTAATTTTTCAGAAAAAAATATATTTTTCAATGCGAAAAATTAAATTATTTTTAATTAGGCCCTGCTTTCTTGCTCTTATTTCGCCTAGACGGCCTTGGCGAGTACGAGGACCACAAATTACAAAACTAGTGAAAATCCAATGAAAAAAGTAATTGTGTTTTTATAATATCTAAATATTTATTTTAAATAATTATGGATAATATTAAGTTTGTAAAATAATGGTTAAACATTATTATTTACTTTGTTTTCATAGGTTTTATTGTAATTTCCATATATGTATTACGTTGTGTTAACCTGTTCTGTTTGTTTATTATTGTTTGTGTGTTGCGTTAACTTGTTTTGTTTGTGTTTTAGATTGTGTCGTGCCATTTGCATTTATTAAAATGCGGTGTGGCATATTTGGATGCAATTCAAACAACGAGTCCAAGAAAAATCCTTTAAATAAAAACATCAAATTTCATCGATTCCCGAAAAACTTTGATTTGTTCTAAACATTTTCTGGGCAGTGACTTTAAGTTTAATTTAAAACACCAACTCTTAAACTACAGTCCGAAATGTTATCAAGGACTGAAAGCATCTATTATCCATATTAAAACACTTTCTTTAATATTAAGTTTAATAAAAACGCCCCACACTGTTCAAAATTTCATGGCCATTTTAACACCAAATTAACACCATACATGGTCTATATCGATACAAACCAAAATGGTGTTAAATATGGTTCGTTGGTCCGGTGTAAATTCAAATACTAAAATAGTGTTAATTTAATTTTCACACAGTATTAAAATAAATTTTACCTGGAGTAAATTGAACTCCTTTTCAGTGTTAAATATTATGTGTTTGTGGTCAAATTAAATCATACTACAGAAAAAAGAAAAAAAAAGAAAACAGGAAGTTCCTTGACGCATTACAAGTATATTACCAGTGATATTATTCCAGAAAATTGAACCTTCAACTCGCTAGAGATAATGTTTTTAGTGCGTTCCACTAACTTAAAATACTTCAAATATTGACAGCTGTTTCCACCTATTAGGGCCGGTTTTTCAATTAGGGTTTAAACCTTGGTCCAGGGGAACTTAGATCAGTTAATGAACTCAGTTCACAGTCAAATGAGTTTTTCAATGTCGACTCAACAGCAGTTCTGTTGAACTTAGATCAGCGGTGTCAACGTTAAGTTGGTACAACTGAATTTAGTATACGCCTACATTTATAGTAGTTATAACTGTCATTTTGACAAAAGGATTTTATGTTTACTTTTGGAGTTTTGTTTATCTGTGCTGTTTTAAAAAGTTATAATCTGTGCGAAAGGGTGCTTTAAAACAATTTACTATTGTTAAAGAACAATAATTATTACCATAAAACGGGGCGATTTCGGACAGCCCGGGCCACTTCGGACATCATTACCTTAAAGCTATTAAAAATTCGCGATTGGGACGTCTGACGTAACAGAGTTCTGTAATTCGGGAAAAAACTTCGTAGAAGATGGCTAAAGTTATGGCAAGAGGCACGTGGGTTCGGTTGTTAAGTGAAATAAGCTTTTTCATCGTTTAGTCTGGGGTTCAAACTTTACTTATTTTATAACTTGGTGAAAGTAACTGGTGCCAGCAAGTAAATATGCACTGTATGATGAAAATAATATAGATTTTCGGTAGTACGTAATTTTGTTGATAAATTATTTTTTTTTTGGTTTACGTTCGTATTACATTAACTTTTATACAGGGTTGTAATACAAATATTTGCATTTTAGGGGGCGACTTCGGACATGGTTAGGGTCTATAAAATAATGTTGGAGAGCAATTTTTACAGAAACTATACAGAGGACAATATTTTTTAATATACTAGTATTTAGTATAAGAAGAAATAAATTTGGTTTATTGTTTTGATCCTCAGAATTCAATTTTATTTTATATTTTGATAAATAAAATGCCCTTTTCCATTTGAATGAGTTTTTACCTAATTTCATGCTTTTTTTTCCTAATTTTATGCTTTATACTTTTTTTAAAGCAATATTTCTGTCCGAAGTCGCCACTGAATGTGCTAGCTTCGATTATATACATTTTACAACGCTTGTCCGAAATCGCCCCACCTTAAGGGGTGACTTTTTGTATGACTATTATAATTTTTACGTAAACTTATACCGGAAGGATGCCAAAATCCCCTGTAAAAAATTTAGTTCCAAATAACAAACATAACCGATTCAAAATTTGAAAAAACATTAAAAATCGTCCGAAGTCACCCCGTTCTACGGTATTTATTATGGATAAAAATCGTGCTGCCAATTTTACCTCTTTTAACAAGGAATTATTTGTATGTATTTCATTTTATATTATAAAATGAATTTGTTGTTTTTTGTTACATGTGATGAATTTTTTCTAAAATCAAAAAAAAAATATTACCTATTCAGTAATTATTTTTATAACTAACCTATTGGTCGGATTTGCAATAACTGGTCTAATTAAATCCACTATCCTACGTACAAAAGGTTTGGAAAACCGAAATCTGGCAAAAATTCATCATTAATCCACCTTTCAAAATGATTCGGTCTTACCCGTGGCCTGTGCACACGAAGTTGAATATTATTTAGAAATTAGCCAATTTCCTCATCCTCACTAACTACCTCAAACATATCCATTGGTTTATTATAACAGCAGATTACAAAACAAGAAATAAACAACGTAATACACAATAAAGCAGAGAAAAATTAAGTTATGTCAAGTTGAACTTCGTTTAAACGGCCAACAGTGACAGTTCATCTTTTGATTTAGTTTAAACCAAATTCAAGCTTGAACTTTGATTGAAAAACGGCATATTTTGTTTGAACCAAGTTCAAATGCTGAACCAAGTTTAAACTATGATTGAAAAACCGGCCCTTAAAGGTCTCTTTAGTATCGAACAACTTGTAGTGTCACACCAAAGCAAAGGACTACCTAAGCTTATATACTCTTCATGTAAGTCAACAGAGGCGAGATTTAAGAACATCACGTGATCCACACCGCCTTTGCCGCGATCGGTACACACTATGCAACAAGGAATGCACGGCAAATTGTTTTAATCGTTTTAACAGAGTGCTTTAGGTTGAAGTAACTCTTATTTACAAACAACATATTTAGTAAACTGAACCATACAGCGGGTTGGTTTCACTATAGTTTTTTGGGTTAATTTAACCAATTTAAAAAAAAATATTAACACGTTCGCGGACAAAGCGGCATATGCCGCTCTAAATACAGGGACAAAGCGGCTTACGCCGTCCAAACATGAATCTCGCTGCTGCACCAACGCGGCGTTTGCCGCTCGGTTTATAGGTCATTTTCAATGCGTACAAGTTTGGTGTCCCAGCAGAAATTGAAAAATTACGAAAAATGTCCCTGGTAAAGTTTTGGCGGCAGATTTTCTAGCTCATCAAATATTGTCATGCGTTTTCCGCAGTCACCATTTTTCGTTCGTGTCCGCGAACGTATTAACTATCTGGTTTAGTACCGTCAGACTAATCTTTGTTTATATTAACCTTCCCACAGTTGATAATAAAAAAAAAATACAAAAATAAATACTTATGGGTGAACTAAATTAATATAGTTAAATGAACTATTCCTTTTTTTCTGTGTAGGTGCACTTCTCAAATATTTTTATATAAACACCGTTTTGGTGATTGCTGTATATAACATTTTCAACCATAATTATAATATATAATTCTATGTATGTGTTCATTATATTAACACCACTTGGTGTTGGATTTTGACACCATTTTAAGATTACTCTTTACACCACAGATATTTTAAACAGTGTATGTCCAGGTATTTCTCTATTTTCTTTGATACTATTACTATTATTTTCACGACATCCTGTGATGTGGAACGATCTTTTTCTTGGTTAAAAAATATTTTAAATTATAAAAGAACTAATTTTACTCCCGAAAACTTGGAAATGTGTGTGTGTACATATGTGTTACGGAAATGCAGACCAACTAAATAAATAATTTGTTTTATCTACTCCTACATTGACGAGCTGTAACTTTATGGCGTTTTATTGACGGGCTGAAGTTAACAACAGTGGCTTTTCGACATTTTACATCACGGGCTGAAGTTAGCTTCATTATAAATTGGGAAAAAGTGAGGTTAAATTCGGGTGACAGTTGACAGATGTCAAAATTTTAACAAATAAAATTGGCTTTAATTTCTCTTTTGTGTTCGTCGTAGATAAAGTATAGTATGCAACTCGTTTATAAACTTCTCTAGACACTCGTTTTTATTAAACACTCGCTCGCAAGCTTCGCTCGTGCTTAATTAAACTTGTAACTTAAATGGCGTTTATAAAACTTGATACATAATATACTATTATATATTGGCCAGTATGAATAAAGAAGGATTTCCTTACTACTTGCAAATTTTAAAGCAAATCTTTT